TTATTAATTTTCTCTATATACTTAGTTTATACCTTTATATACTCAGTATGTTCTTACATTGACATTGGTTGAAATATTAGACATAACCCGAATTTTCTTGTTCCTCTAACTACTCACATTTCTACTTGGGACTGTTTATTTTACCCCATATAATTTTCATGAAGTTCATACTGTCTACCTTTTAGAGGGTAAAATATCCATTGAATTTTAGGCACACCTCAGATTGCAGTGGTATATCTCAGAATGGGCAAAGAACGTATACAGAGAAGTCAGATATAAATGTCAGCAAAATACAAATACAGTGAATTAATTCTATATAAATTGCCATAGTACCTCCAATTAAGCAACATTTTAGTAAAACTGGTGTAAAGTGTAGAGAAAATTAATACATTTGAAGGAATTCACATGCTAAGCTCATGCATTCAAGAATAGCAAATATTTCACTAAGCAGTAGCAGGCAGAAAGCACAAGGGAAGAAAACTCTGGTTGATTTTTGGAATTAGATCACAGTCCCTCCTTCCCAGTTTGGAAGCTCCCCTGAAACCTGTTGTTGTTGTTAAGGGCCATCAGGTAGGTTCCAAGTCATAGCGAGCCTATAGGACAGAGTAGAACTGCCCCCACAGGGTTTCCGAGGAGCCGCTGGTGGATTTGAACTGCCAACCTTTTGGTTAGCAGTTCAGCATCATAGCAAGATGCAGTCCACCACTGAGAGGCAGACCAGTGGTGGCTGCACATAAAGTGTATTGACTGGGAATTGCACCTGGGTCTTCTGCATGGAAGCGGAGAATTCTACCACTGAGCCACCAATGACATGAAGCCGTATCACTAGTGCCTTTTTCAAAATCTATAATACTACGCTTTCAGCACTTCAATTAAATTTTTAATGCATTTGAAATCTAAAAATGTAACAGAATAATCCAGGTTCAGCCTCTAATTAGGTGTGAAGAATATTGGTTTACAGTAAAGAAAGCCTTTAAGAAGCAACGTTTATATGTGTTTTGATATTTTATATTCTATCATGGTGTTATTGAAGAGTATTAGATTATCCTATAACTTTTATCTATGTTCTTCATTTTATCTTTGGTGTTAGGTCTTTCAAATGCATTATGGTGTACTGAGTTTGGGATAATTTCTTCATATATTTTTTAGGGCCAAATGCATGTTATAAGCCAGCTCCAAATTTTGCAAAAATTGTGACATTTATTATCTGCCTCTATATATGGGTAGCTAAGGTAAATACTACATTTTCAATAATATCTCAGACATTACCCTGGTGTTGTTGTTGTGTGCCACCGAGTTGATTCTGACTCATAACGACTCCATAGGACAGAGCAGAACTGCCACATAAGATTTCCTAGGCTGTAATCTACTGGAGCAGATTGCCACATCTTTTCTCCTGTGGAGCCCTTGGTGTGTTTGAACCATCAATATTTTGGTTAGCATCTGAGCACTTAACTACTGCATGAGCAGAGCTCCTTTACATTACCCAATATAACATAATCTGCAAAACAAGATTGAGAGATAGATACTGTCATTATTTTCAGTCGTCTTGAATCCTTGCCAAGGATTATACAGCAAAGATAGAGGCAGAAGTCTGTTTCTAGACCTACTGTCTGCAAGAAGTGCAAATTAAAATTTAATAACAACAAGTACAAATACTTTTTTATTAAATAACAAACATGAGGAAATTTAGAATGGGAAAGACTTTTCTCATTTTCTTTTCAGGAAACATGAATGTGTGGTCAACTTCCCAACACAACAGAAGAAAGGAGTGTGGAACTATATTACTTCACTTTTTAAAATTCAGTAGCCATTTCCTTTGACCTTCCTTGACTAACTTTATAAAGAGTCCCTTGTGTTTTACAATATTTCTAGCTCTCAGCCTTGTTTCATCTATACAAAGTATAATTATGCCTTGTAGACCTGATTTCAAAGATATTTTTTCTGTATGTTGTTCCGTACCTCAGCAAATAGGTATCTAGCATGTATATATATATATATATATATATATAAATATCCAGACAAGCAGGGCAAAATATACTATTGGTTAAGAGCATGGGCTCTAGACTTTACTACTTACTAGTTGTGTGGCCTTGGGAAATGACTGTCTGTGCCTCAGAATCCTTATTTGTATAACAGGATTTATAATAATGCCTACTTCATGCGTTTTGTCTCAGAAATATGAACATTTATTAAAAATAGGAAAAGTTCTGTCACACAGAAACATCTTTATTAATGTTAGCTATTATTGTTATTGCAGTATGTGTTGCTATGGTGCTGAGCAGGTTTCAATGGAGCTTCCAGGCTAAGATGGACTAGGAAGAACTGCCTGGCCGTCTACATCCAAAAATCAGCCAGTGAAAATTCTATGGATCACAACAATCCAATTATGGGGATGACACAGAACGGGGCAGTGGTTAGTTTTGTTGTCCATGAGTCAGAGTCTGATTCAAAGGTAGCTAACAACAACAACAACATCATTATTGTTAGTATTATTGCAAGGCCTATTCTGCTTTGATTAAGCAAACTAAGATCAAGGAGACCACCACCAGTTCTGTATTCCATCAGCTTTTATACTTAGTCATGTGGCCTTCTTTGGTGTATATGACTAGCTGGCTGTGTCCCGTAAGTGTGCACGACTCCTTCCCCCACTCCCATAATAACGCATTCCATTAATACTGGTTATTTATCATTCAATCTCATCAATGTGGTACAGGTGCTTTATTCAATATATGTTCCTCAGCTAGTTCTTCATTTGCCTTAGATCTAGTATAGGTAAATTCTTAATAGTTACTTGAATTAATTTTGCAAGGGGACATGTTTTTTCCAAGAATATATGCTTCTTTTAAGATCACTAGTTGGAAATATATAAGCATAGAAAAGAATTACTTTTATTAACTGAAATATAAATCTATTGAAATGTTACAAACTCCTTAGTTGTCGTGAAAATGAAATACCACTAAAAGCTCTATTTTAGATCTTAATTCAAACTTGGCTATATAATACCAGTAATTTCATAATAGTTTTCTATTATAAAAACACATAGCAACATGCTGTGAAATGCTATTAATGCTAAATTTAGTGAAGAAAAATTCTTACATTTTTAATTGTTAAAAAGAGAAAACTAGAGAAAGAACAGCTTGAACCGTAAAATGGTCATGTTTTAAACTTTCTACACAAACAAGAAAATTTATATCCACTTATTAATATGCCTAAAAGTTCAGAAGCCCTGTCTATCAGGTTGTAGTTCTGGGGTACATTGTTCTTTATTTGAACTTGATTCACCCTGTTTGCATTCTCATCCCAAGTAATAAGTCAGGAGCATTTAGAGAGGCTCCCTCTGCTCCTTCAGACCAGCAACTACTATTTCGCGCACTGAAGCAGTAACTTCTTTAATACTATGCTGGTGATCTGTAACAGCTGATGCAGTTTCCAGAGGTAGTTAACTTCCAAACAGGCGGTATTTTACTGACTATTTAATAAGTACTGCTTCAGTAGACTAGATAATAACTTAATGGCCTAAAGAGCTAATGCTCCTTCCAAAATTTTGGGGGTCACTGGGAATAGAGCAGTCTTGTTTTTCACCAGTAGATTTTGAGAATATTGCTAAACATTTCTACCTTGACTACTGCAACAAGAATACAGAGAGTAGTTTGAAATAGAATTTTACCTCATTTTCTATAAACTAAGAGCATGATAATTTCAAAAATGCACCTTGGGTTTAAAATTGATAAATATGTATTTGTTGCTTGATTGAAAATACATTCTGAAACTTACATCCTATTGTAAGGATGAAGTTATAAACTTCAAGTCTCAAATTCAGGGTAATTTATGATTCCAAACTTTTTTGTCTTTCTCACTTCTGCATTGGATAATATATGCTTTCTATTTCTTAATAGAAGTATTTATTAACAGAAACAAATTTAAAATAACAGTTCTTGCAAAAAATTTTACTCCAATTTTCTATATTCAAACTAAGATCTAATGTGTTTTAATCCTGAGTAACATTAGTATTTATAATAATTTTATACATAGATTTTTATAACTAAAATTTTGTTAATCTTGGGGCCAGACAATAATGCTCACATTCATCCAGTCTTCTGTGCCAATTCCCATAAATAAGGTCTTGGATATTTATAAGCAAACTACCACTATTGTTGTTAGATGCCATCGAGTCAATTTTCAACTCGTAGTGACTCTGTGTGACAGAGTAGAGCTGCCCCATAGGGTTTTCAAGCCTGTAATCTTTACAGGAGCAGATTTCCAGGCCTTTCTTCCACAGTCACTGGGTAGGTTTGAACTGCCAACATTTCAGTTGCAGCCCTGAACGTTGCACTACCAGAATTCCCTTAAACCACCACTAGTCACTAATCACTTTGGATCACCCTCTTTATAGCCAAGCCTTCAATTTGTCTGTGAACATAGTCATGGTTCATTTGAGCTCTAAAGTCCTACTGCTACCAGTATATTTAAGACTCTTTGACTCTTCCATCCCTTGAAATGCCCCTCCCATAATCCTTTCAAGCTTATCTATTCAAATAAAATTCTAAAAATGTATGAGAATTAAATGCAGAACTATAAGAATCACAGGCGTCAGCCTTTTGGAGGAAAATGCATTCTAGGTGTATGTATGACTACTTCAGAAATTGTCTGTGAAGTGTTTGGAATCCTGACGCAAGGCATCTGTGTTCTCTAGTAATTTTTTCGATATCACCTCCACAAATTTTTCAGAGGGGTCTTTATTTTTGACGACTAGCTCATTCTCATGCAATAGCATTACCAAGTGGTTTAATGACAATAGAAATAATATGCAATAGAAAGATCCTGAAATGGAATTTTTACACTAGCAGTTTTACAGCTGCAGGTGTCGGCAGCCCTGTCATCAGAAGTGAGTGAGGGCCGGCTCCGGCAGGACCTCTGGAAGGGACCAGGCCCCATTTGCCTGCGCAAGATCTACCCGGCCTGAGGTGAGACCCTGGCCTCCCAGCTGGGCGGGGGGCATGTTCCCAGCCCTTTGCAGCTGTAGGATTCAGAGAAGAACACCCAAGGGGCTGCATCTGGCCCTCAGCCCGGAACCTGGGGGCCTCCCGGCAGCACTGTGAGCAGCTGCCCTTCTCCTCCACTTCCCTTGCCCTCCAGAAGACACGCCCACTCAGACTTGGGAGGGGTCTTTATGCCCCCATGCCCCTAGAGCCTACTCCTGTGCACTGCCCCCAGCCCTGCCGGGGAACCCTGGTACCGGCCCCCGCTGCAAACATCGCGCCGTCACCCTGGCCCCTTCCAAAAGGCAGCAGCGGGCCCTGGCTGCTCTCCCAGTCCTCTGTGTGCTCCCCTACCTGGGGCCTCTGGTGGTCAGGGCGCTGGTGCCTGCCCTCCTCTCCCAGCTGCTGGCGGCAGAGGCCGGCACAGTGCCCAAGAAGGGGGTCAGGAGCCCCTCGGCGGGCTGGCTGGACATACTGGAGGACTGGCCCTGGGGGGCTGGTGCCTTCTCTATGGGGACCGAGGACAGCGGCAGGTGCTGCTGTCGAGGCCCAGGATTGAGCCCCGCGCAGGGGCACCACGCGCCCCATCCTCGGTACAGCCACGGCCCGGGCTAGGACAGCGCGGGCTGGGAGAGCGTGGAATGGCAGATTCTGGGAGAGCTGCGCACGCTGGCAGACGAAGAGGAGGAGGAGAAAGAGGGGGTCGAGGCCACCTGCCGCCTGGGGCCTGACTTTTCTGGGATGGATTCCGAGGAGCTGCGGCTGGTCTCCTTCCATGCACGACTGGCCGCTGTCCTCCTCGGTCCATCCTGCACAGTTGACCGAAGCCAGCTTCTTCCACATGAGCCCTCAGGACAAGGTGAGGTGCTTCTTCTGCTGTGGGGGCCTGCAGAGCTGGGAGCGTGGGGATGACCCCTGGACGGAGCACGCCAAGTGGTTTCCCAGGTGTGAATTCTTGCTCCAGTCAAAAGGAACGGGCTTTGTCCGCAGTGTCCAGGACTCGTACTCCTACCTGCTCGGGTCCTGGGACCCATTGGAAGAATCAGGAGACGCCGTCCCCACAGCTCCTGTCCACTGGGGGCCCGATCCGCCTACACTCAGAAGGGACAGCCACCTTGAGGGCACTGAGGACTCAGGAGTCGAGAGCATCGAGGAGCAGGTGCGGCGCCTGAGATGCGAGCGCGTCTGCAAAGTGTGCCTGGACCGCGCGGTGGACGTGGTCTGTGTGCCCTGCGATCACCCGGTCTGCGCTGAATGCGCCCCCAACCTGAGCTTGTGCCCTGTCTGCCTGGCGCCCGTCCGCAGCTGCATCCGCACCTTCCTGTCCTAGGCAAGCGCTGAGCGGGGCCCAGCAGCGGCCATGGGCCTTCCCCTTGGACCAGGGAGTGGGTATGAGTTCCTGCCTCCAGGGTCGCATAAGCACGCTGAGGGGACGACCACCTCTGACCATCACCGATTCCGGGACAGCCGCCGTGGCCGGAGGAGAGAAAGTGGACAGGTGGGGTGGGGGTACTTTTACTGTACTCGGTTTGTATATTTTGATGATTGTCAATAAAGTGGAAGTTTTTCCCGCAAAAAAAAAAAGAGGTGGAAAAAAGGGTGCAGGATAATCACGGATCTTTTGGTATATTCAATGAGATCTATAAACTCTCCCCTACAAAAAAGGTACAGATGCACTTACACACACTGGTTTATAAACTACTTCAAGTGATCTGTCAAAGCCAAAACCCAGAAATGAATTCCCTAACGACTTAACAGGTTTGGTTTAATAACGCTGCCCTACTCTCCTCACACTCTTCAGTCTAACAAATTAACTTTCATTGAAATAAAGGTTGATCATCTAACATTTTATATAGTTCAAAAGGAGAGATTAATGTCCAGTTTTTTCCTTTAATGATACTAACAACTATTTACAATTGCATGTCTTGCATCTTATAACAATGTCTGGAACAAAATAAGAATTCAACTAGTATTTCCTGAGTGATTAACAAATACTTAAATGAGTGAATTAGTTGAGGAGATAACATTGACTATCTTGAAGAATTAAGACAAAAAGGCAAAACTTTGCTTCATATTTTCTTTCTTCATTTAGCATTGTTACATGAAAGCATATAAATTATCATCACATTAAAACAGCTTATTTGCGAGTGCAGCCCTGGTAGCATACTGGTGAGGAGCTCAGCTGCTAACCAAAAGGTTGGCAGTTCAAATCCACCAGCTGTACCTTGGAAACATCATAGGGCAGTTCTACTCTGTCCTGTAAGTTCACTGTAAGTCAGAGTCTGCTCAATGGCAACAGATCATGTCTAGTTAGAGAACAGGAAGTGCAGAGGCCACCATAATTAGCATCTTTACAAAATGTTAGGAAAAGCTTGGTTCCATTTGCTGCATACCAATAAGAAAACTCTAAATAAACACCAGCATCTTTGGTACTAATTCTTCTTCCAATTATTTATATGAAAAGTGTATTAATAGCAGAAACAGTCTATAATACTTTCTCCCTTCCAGCTTTAAAGAAACATGATATAAGTGCTAAAAAACCCATTGCTGTCAAGTTGATTCAGACTCATAGTGACCCTGTAGAACAGAGGAGAACTACCCCATATGGTTTCTAAGGTTGTAATCTTTACAGAAGCAGATTGCCACATCTTCCTCCCGTGGAGCAACTGGTAGGTTCGAACCACAAACCTTTTGGTTAGCAGCCAAGCCCTTAACCACTGTGCCACCAGAGCTCTGAAATAAGTGCTAGATCTCAGCATTAAATGGATTCTAGTATCTACTTTTTAATGCAGCTAGTTAATGTCTATCCAAATTGCTATCAATGATTTTTTTTTTTTTTCTATTACAGCATTAGACAGCAAAAAGAAAATTTGTTGAGACCAAAACATGGCTTGTGTGTATGTGGTATAGTTCAATTCTACATCTAAAATGCTGCTTGAAATATGTAGACAGTATATACATCAGAACTTATTGATTCAAGGGTGCTTTTTGTAGTATTAGAAGTAGTTGTAGCATATCTTCTGTGTGAACATTCAAAATAAATGGGCTGGCTTGTCAACCTTAATGCAGAAGCTGAACAGTTTTCTGTTATTCACTCAGGTAATGAACCCACACCATAGGTAGTCCTCCCCTGGGAAGAGCTGGGTTTGCATCTTGGCCTTTTTCTTCCTCCAATTTAAAATTTATTATATCAGCTGCCATGCAGCAATATGAACATCTAACATCTCCGTAAATGAAACCTCCGACTCAATCTCTTTCAACTGCAAATAAGCAGCCATAACATTTTGTAAATTATTCCTCTGAAATCACAGAGAAGAAAGTCGATATACTCACCAATGACCCTTACCAAATAGCAACTTTGTGGAATGCTCTTTGCCTTCATGAGTCTCTCTGGAGGTTACTAACTCTAATGGGAAGGCAATGTACCATTGGCTATTATTAACAGCAGAGAAACTTCAAGAAAGGAGCATCCATTAATTCTGTGTCCTCATTGCAGGGTATGAGATCCCAGGGAAACTATCTTCACTTCCCTTTGAAAATTAATTGTCCTTTGTGATATCTGTTTGTAACAGAGGCTTAGATTCTTGCTCTCAGCTTCTTAGGAATCAGTGTGACTGATCATGGTTTTTTTGTTCATTTTTTTTTCTCCTAAAGTTAATCTAACAGTGTTCTTCTGATATTAATGTTATTAAAAATAGGGGTCTTATCTACCTTTCCTTAAAAGGCAAGGCAGTTTTCATATTGTTTCTGAAATCGCATCTCTGGAAAAAATGAGTGTTATTATGTTAAAAGGGAGGAAAAAAGAGAGGAGTTTTAGAAAAGAAAGTTATTGGTAATTGCAGATGATACATATTTTAAGCCTTTTTCCCTCTCCCGAGGCAAATTGATTAATTAGGTATAACAGTCAACTGCAAGTAACAAAGACATGACTACGTATAATGGTCTACACACAAAATGATTTACTTTTCTTATGTAACAATAATTCTGAAGTAGGCAGTTGCTATTATTGCTTTGGATGCTCAAGAATGTCAGGAATAAAATCTTAGAAATTGCCATGGTCTTTTTTCTCATAGTGTCAAATTAACTTCTACAGTTCCAGCCATCACATCCCTATTCTAGGAATGCAGGAAAAGGAAGGGGGAAGGAGCAAAAGACTGAGTTAACTGACTCTGAGGAGCTATCTCCGTTAATCTCCACCCAAAAACTTTTCTTTGTATCTCATTATTCATCTTAATTTGTAATGGAGAAATGGAGATGTCACTATTTAGCTGGGCACATTGCTACACCACAAAATATAGTTTTGTTAATTAGGAAGAAAAATAAAATGAACATTGAATAAGCAACTATTGGTCTCCTCAAAGAGGCTTTTTTTTTTTAATTGAATAGATGGAAAGACATGAAATTTTTTTAAATGTATTTTTTGGCTATTTATAATAATAATAATTAAAGCTAAAATTTATAGAAGGAGTTCGGATGGTTCAGTGGTTAAAGCTCTTGGCTGCTAACTGAAAGGTCGGCGATTCAAACCCACCAGCTGCTCCATGAGAGAAAGATGTGGCAGTGGGCTTCTGTAAAGATTGCTGTTGTTAGGTGTCATCGAGTTGTTTCCAACTTATAGGAACCCTTTGAACAACAGAACGAGACATTGCCCAGTCCTGCGCCATCCTCACAATCATTGCTGTTTGAGCCCATTGTTGCAGCCACTGCGTTAATCCATCTCATTGAGGGTCTTCCTCTTTTTCACTGATAATCTGCTTTAGATTACATCCTTGGAAACACTACGAGGCAGTTCTACTCTGTCCTATATGGTTGCTATGAGTCGGAATCAACTTGACGGCAATTGGTTTGTATTGGTTTAAAATTTATAGAATATTATCTACATTGAAGGCACAGTGTTATCGAGGTCATAGAAATTATCTCATACACTCTTTGTAACAATCCTGGAAATTCACTATGTTGTAGATACAGAGATTGGTATCTCAAACTCTGAAAATCTGTAGTTCAAATTATACATTAAATAATCATTAGCTCTAAAGTAAGGATTCCTGCAAGTTAAGTCATTAAAAACCCTACATTTCAAGGACAAACCTGCATTTTACTGTTTTCTTTCTAGTTATGGAACCAAATTAAAGCAGGTAATAAGCCCAGTCAAGTCTTTGAGTCAATGCCACAACTCTTATCCCAGGGCACATCTCCAGGGTCACCTTTTTGGATGGGGAAATGTTTCTGTATGTTATAAATAATAAATAAGCCTTCTCAATTTTATCATTATCTCCTGGGATGTTCCTGAAATGGTCACTTATAATTTTTTATAGAAAGGAAACATTTCTTATTGGCATTGCCATATATTGTCCATTGGCTGCTCAAATACAACTCATTATAATAGATCTATATATACATATATATTATTCTTTTCACTTTTTAATGTAACATTTTATAATATTGACTATACTTTCAGCTGATAAATGTACATTTCACTAAAAATCATAGGAGAGAAAGTAACATATAACATATAACATGTAGGGTCTCCACGATTCTTTAAAAGAAGAGCAAAGTAAGAAACTTAAGAAAGGAATTGAGGAAAGAGCACGTTTTTTATTCCAAGTCTTATTTCTGCCTGCAGGAGAAATTTTAATACACTTTACAACTGTTTGCAATCTTATAACATGACTATACTGATGACTAAAATAATGCAGTAAGAATTGAAAAGGTCAACTTTACTCATAACTGCAGTATGAGACTTGATACGAATTTAGAGATATTTAAGAGCTACAATTACTAAAAAAAATTTTGATTATAATTAACTTTTCTTTTTCAGTTTTATTTTTAAAATGTCCTGAAAATGGAATGTGACTGCACTAAGGCAGTGATGTAGTTCAATCTTGATTTTATGTTTT